ATTACCATAGCTCATTTAAATAATGTATGAACGCAATGCGGAAGTGATTTGCCGATGTTTGCGATATTTTGGCTTTGATTTTGGTGGGAAAAACGGCATGATTTTTTTTTCAAATCAAGAAATTAGTTATTTTTGGAAAGTAAACTGAGCATTTAAAGAATAATTTAACACTGTTTACTGTGACAACAGCGCATTTGAAACAGAACATTTTCGCGTTGTTTTAATTTCGTTTTTATGGACTTACTGCGAAATTAAAAACCACGCTGATATTTTCTACAGTAGACTAAAAAGACATGTTTCAAGAGATTATAGACCGATTTCTTAAAAATTGTTAGAAACAAAACCAATTTTTTTTTTACATAAAAGCCATTCGAACAGTAACAGCGAGGGACTTCCGGGATCGCGTCCATCGTTACGAACCGGTAACCGGTAGTCGATCCGCCGGCGCCCAATTCACGATCATTACGTGCCAAAATTTCAACTTTGTCTGGCGCTTAATTGAGGTGTAAAATACAAAGTTTTTGTGGCACTGGCGCCTAATTGAAGGTGGCGCTTAACTGAAGACAAATACGGTATGTGATTTTGGCATATGTCGACTGAGTCCCCTAGCTGGTATGAACATGGCATCGTTAATCCCTACACAATCATGGAAGTATATCTTGATTTGCATTGAGTATGCCAGGGAGAATACAGCTATTCAAACCTGATACATGATAGCTGTTTGTGTAGACTGGTATCTGATAACGACTTCTAATTAATATGTGCATATTATTAGTCTATTATTTTGCGTTTGTTCCGTACGTCCGGAGCTATATCTCAGACACCCATTGACGGATTCCATTCAAACTTTACATGAAGACAATACATAATGTCTTAAATATGCACGTCAAGTTACTTTATGATCGGAGAAAAAATGGCCGACTAGCGGCCATTTTGGATGTAAAATTTGCTATTTCTGATACCTAAATGTGTCCGCAGCAGTTTTTCAGAGATGACTAGGCCGATTTGGATCAAAGTTAGTATGGTGATCATACATATTGGGTTATAGGTGCATGTCATATTTTTTCCATAATCTGAACAAATATGGCCGACTGGCGGCCATTTTATTTTTCATGGTACCCATGCTACTTTCTCTTGAATGCAATGAACGTTTCTCTTTAAATTTAAATTCTCTTTAAATATGGCTGACCGATGCCCAAATTTCCTGTAAAAACGTTAAATCGTCATTTTTTACATGTCCGAGGCTGTTTCTCAAAGATGACTACGCCAATTTAGATCAAAGTTGATATGTTGTTCATACATATTTGGTTATAGGTGCACGTCATATTTTTTTCGTGATTCGAACAAACATGACTGACTGGTGGCCATTTTGTTTTTTATGGTACCCATGCTACTTTCTCTTGAATACAATGAACGTTTTTCTTTAAATTTTGTACCAAGATAGTATACCAAGGAATACATGCGCACCAATATTATTTTTGTGATTCAATTCAATATGACTGGCTGACGCCCAATTTTTATGTAAAAGCACTATAAATCATAATTTTAACATGTCCGGAGCTGTTTCTCAGAGATGACTAGGCCAATTTTGATCAAAGTTGGTATGATGATCATACATATTGGGTTATAGTCGCATGTCATATTTTTTCTGTGATTCAAATTAATATGGCTGACTGGTGGCCATTTTGTTTTTCATGATACCCATGCCTACTTTCCCATGAATGCAATGATCATTTCTATTTAAATTTTGTACAAAGACAGTATACCAATAGATACATCAACATGAACATTATTTTTGTAATTTGATTCAATATGACTGCCCAATGTCCAATTCTCATGTAAAAGCACTAAATCATAATTTTTTTACAAATCCATCTCTTATTAATCGTTTCAATCTAATTAATCTCAATGACTTCATCAGCATCAAATTTTGGACGGGGACTGTGTTATTAACAATGACTTGTTTTTCCTAATTTACATATTAATTAACCGTTTTCAGGTTTATTCAGTATCTTAACTGTTTTTTCCATTTGTTAATTGTAGTTTTCACAGGTATAATGAAACTAGGTATATGCATGTCTATGCAGATAAATGACTAATTATACTGTTTATATCATTATAGTTTATAATAGTCTGCAGTTTAATTAGCTAATTTGCATACTAATTACATATATATCAGATTTTCTTTGCTGTATCATTCAATAAAAAAAAAAAACTATTTCATAATTTCACTTATCATCCCTTGACTGGAGAAATCTTTTGTTGTCTGTGTCCATGCGTCGGTTTTTAATCAATTAGCTCAATTAATTCGCATAGTTAGCAATTGATTCACACACGGGGTCATGTCTGGTCTTGCAAAAAACGTGCATGCCGTGATAATTTAAACATAACCATGTTGATTTATTACAACTTTGCATGAACATTACACGTGATGGACATTTTTTTGTGATTTGGTTCAAAACTGAAGAATGGTGGTCATGTCAGTTTTATCATCAAGTGACCTTCTCTTTGATCGATTGTAGTTAAATTTGGTTCAAAGGTCAGACTTTTATTCAAAAATAGTTCAAATGTTCTGTTCAGTAGTTTTGATTACATTATTAATCAACAGGAAGCTATTTTATTTTATTTATTTTTAAAGTTTGGTACAAAAGCAAGACACAAGTTTTATGTGTGTACTAATTGGTTTCAAAGAAATGTATTGACATTCATTTTTCATGAATAGTTTTTGGCGAAACTTTCATCAAAAATTACAATTAGGAAAACCGAAACATACAACAACAACAACCCCTCCCCTCAAAATAAAAGGGGCCATACGCGCAGACCACAAATAACTGGCGTGGGGCAAATATTATTAATGGTCTTGGGTACGTGTTTACGTGAAGTAGCCAGAAAAAATACTTTCAAATTCGTCCAACAATTGTGCCATAAGCTAAGAAAAATAAAAACCCAAAGTTGAACTCCCCGACGGGGAATTGAACACCGGTCTTCCGCGTGACAGGCGGAGATACTCACCACTATACTATCGAGGAATGTTCTAAATGTTGCGGCGTTCGAATGGTATATAAATTAATGTTATACAGATAAGACTAAATAAGGTTATATTTTCCGGAAACTGCGGAAATAAGAATTTTGACCATCTATAAAATGTATCGTCATGGTAATTAAAAGGGAGTCCTACTTTCAAAATATGATCGTACATGCCCCCCCCATCTAGCGGTCAAATAATAATACCTGTAGTACTGAGTGAGTACAGGCACGGAGGTAGAAAATCTCTTTTCTACCTCCATGGTACAGGCCAGTTCAGTCATTAAAATGGCAGCCGACTGGTGACCACGAAAGTTGTATTGTCACTGCCAGGTTTCTTTACCCATTTGTTTTATCGATTGTTATTGTTTGTTCAGCCGCAACTTGAAGCAATTGTAGCTCCACGCACAGCTCCGGTCAGTAGCATGGGCTAAGAATTCAAATACCTTAGCCCGTGCTAAGAAAACGTGCGTGAACGCTAAGCGCGGGCTAAGAAATGCAATTCAGGTACTCCTTCTGTCTTTTACCTCGACGGAAATGCTAAGTACAGATTAAATCTTGCCCTATTTTATGACCCGGTCCAGACCTTTAGAACGGGCTGACGAAGTGTGCATGAACGCTTAGCTCGGTCTAAGCGCCCAAAACACCATTATATTCAATGTTCATTTGGAATAATCCCTATTATATTCATAACTATTCATTTCGGCATGCCATTTCCGACATGACAATCAACGCAAACACACATACAGAGATTGTTCTCGAGAAAAAAAAATAAACTGACGATGAGACATCCTGTTATTCTGTAATTTCACTTTCTGAATTTGCAGTTCCGACATGACAATCAACGCGAACACACTTACAGAGATTGTTCTCGAGAAAAAATGAACTGACGATGAGACATCCTGTTATTCTGCAATTTCACTTTCTGAATTTGCAGTTCCGACATGACAATCAACGCAAACACACTTTATACAGAGATTGTTCTCGAGAAGAAAATGAACTGACGATGAGACATCCTGTTATTCTGCAATTTCACTTTCTGAATTTGCAGTTCCGACATGACAATCAACGCAAACACACTTTATACAGAGATTGTTCTCGAGAAAAAATGAACTGACGATGAGACATCTTGTTATTCTGCAATTTCACTTTCAGAATTTGCAGTTCCGACATGACAATCAACGCGAACACACTTACAGAGATTGTTCTCGAGAAAAAATGAACTGACGATGAGACATACTGTTATTCTGCAATCTACACTTTCTAAATTTGCTTCAGTTTCGTATTGTTTTATAACCGTATAACTATAAGTATAATTTCCTAGTTACTGTACTAGTAATCATAGTTAAAATGACTGAAAGTTTGGGTGCTCCCAAGCCTGTGCTAACCACTGTTTCCTCTCGTGCGTGAACGCAATTGGGTCTATCCAATATGCTAGCATACGAAATTAGCATAAATCTTAGCCCGTACTCAGTTTCGTATAGCGTGAACACTACTATAATAATGGTTTGCATATTCCCTTCAACTGTTTTTCAGTTTTGATCATTAAATTCATCCAACTGGAAAGTATTTGTTTTATTTTTCAATTATCGTCACTTATTCGTAAAAGTGAAAGACGTAATAGGTTTCATATGCGTGCCAATTTGTTTCTGTTTCAATGGAATTTCCCGACACCCTTCCAACTTTCATTATGTTTCTGTTTCGATGCAATTTCCTGAACAACCAAATTCATATATGTTACACACGTAGGGCTAATCTTGTTACACTGTTCAGGGGACTCTCAACAACCATTGCAAAATATCGTTTTCTGCGAGTTTTTGGTCTTTGTTTTCACTGCCCAGGCCCGTAGCCAGCACTTTTGAATAGGGGGTTCGAAAACAATAATAAATGATATATTTGATGTGAAACGTGTGAATTTTATAATATTCAAAAAGTGTGTTTGAGCTCTGTTACATACATTTTTATATTCTCGGTTTTAAATTCAATTGGTTTACTTTGTGTTACGTTGGTAAGTTATTCCACATAACATTTTTGAACTATTTTACCATTTTAGAGAAGGGGTCCTAGGCCATTCCCCACCCACAGACAAACACACCCACACCCTTGATCCATTACGGCAAAATGTTGTACACAAAAAAGACAAGACTGTACGTATCTTAGCATTATTGTCCAAGCATTTTAAGGTAGAATGCTACTCATGAGCTTTTTCGCTCTTCACAGATGTTAGCGCACATATAAAGTGACACAATTTCATGTCGAAATCTGTCTACAATTATTCATTTTAGTATTAGTCAATTATGTAATTTTATTTCTGTATAAGGCCTCACCACAACGTACAAAATGTAATGGGT